GTTCAGTCTGGGCAGTAGAGGAACGCCACAAGGCTCAGTCCTGTCCCCCTTTCTTTTTAACGTGGCCGTGATAGGTCTCCCTACCAGGCGGAAGGAAATTCAAGGACTCCACCATAGCCTCTATGCAGATTACAATGCACTATGAATTGCAGAAGGTACTGGCGGATATATAGAGAAACTTTACAAACCGCAGTGAATAATGTAGAAGAATATGCCACCCATACAGAATTATAATCCTCACCGAATATCCTTTTCTACAACCCGACAAGAAGGGGTCAGAAATGCATGCAGGAAAAAACGATAATTAAAGTCAGAACACACTACCACACGTGTGTTTTGAAAAATGCCTTTACCTGCGGTCGAAAGCATAAAAATTCTGGAAATTCGAATCAGTTGGAAGGGGCGTAACGGAGAGGTGATTAGATTACTTGAAAGTAGTGCGCAGAAAATTATTTGTTAACTCAAACGAACCACAAACCGACACTATGGTATGAAGGACAATATTATGATGAGACTGGTAGAGGTTTTAGTCATCAGTCGTATTCTATATCTCATTCCGTACCTCACACTGAAAGTGGCCGAGAGAAAAAGAATTGACAGAATCATTAGACGAGTTTTCAAAACAGGCAATCGGACTTCCGAAAACTACCCTAATGAGAGGTTACTTCAATGAGGACTTCACAGCACACCGGAACAGCTTATAGAAGCTCAGAGAACTGCACAATATAAACGACTAACGCATAGTGAAACAGGCAGAACCCTACTAGACGAACTCGGTATAAACTACGCAAATCAAGTATGAGACCAGGAATCGTTTAGTAGTCTTACCTATACCAAAACAATATGCACATCGACGATCATCATGAAAGGAGAGCTGAAAGAGCGAAAAGCATACATAACAACGTCAAATATTTACCGGAAACAAAATACATAGTTGCCACCAAATACAAAAGAAATGACTTGACTATTGCAGTAGTGGACTATAAATAAAATCATAAGGCCAGTGGCTTGGTGAGAACGAGGTTTGCAACAGAGGCGAAGACAGCAGCTATTGCACAGGCCATAGCATCCATTTCGGCTTCACAAATCATTAGCGACTCCCAGACAGCTGTGAGAAACTTTGCACCAGGGCAAATATTCCAAATAGCTTTAAGAATATTGGATCGACACAAAGACCAATGAACAATAGATATATTCTGTGAACCTGCTCACTCCTCCTTGCCCCGCAATGAGCCTGCACACTAGACAGCTTGAGGACTCAAAGACATAGCCTCTGGATTGCCCTGGTCGAGCTGGGTGGACGTTGAATGACTTGAGCAAATGAGCTCTTACAGAGATATTACGCAGTATTATGGGCTAAGCAGGAAAATTTATCCTCTCGCCCACTTATTATTGAACGAAGGACAGGTGGTGGCATGGCACATACTTCAGAACCATCCCTGGCCTGGCCCGGTAACAATGCACCGCTGCGTGCCAGAACTTCATTCGAACAAGTGTAAATTTCGTAATACCATGGCAGAATTGAGCCACGTTCTATGGGCATGCTCACAGGACCCCATGAAAGACAAATTCCCAAGTGGTAAAGGATAGAATACCGCGCTCTTCGGCTCTGACTAGCAATTACAAGCCCGCTTAATACAGAAGGTTGAGGATGCCGCCAAGGCCTACGGGATCATGGCCATCGTTTAGGTTTGGTCCATTCGCCCGCACCTTAAAGGAGAGAAGGATCTCTTGGCTAATTGAAGTTTGCTTATCATCATCTTTCGGGTACTCTTTAGACTGCTTGAAAGAATCGTTGCATCATTTGTACGTAGTCCTCAATTCTATAGCTGTGTTCTTGTGGCATGCATTGTTCTTACGCCAGTCAATTTTGCAGTGGGGTGCAGCACACGTGTGTTTAGAAAAACTGTTTAATAATTTAGAGTAATTGGTACTCTACTATGGGAGAGCAAAAACCGTCCCAGTCAGACGACCATTTAGTCTAGGAGTAAACAAGCACACGTATGTGCCATTATTTTGTTGAAGCGTCAACTTGGCGCAGTGAGCCCATGAGCCCTTTCATGAGCAAGAAAAATTACTCGCACACTGGTTCAGCTTCCAAGCCAGTTCTAATCGAGCCCTTTTGGTTTCATAAATGTTCAGAAAGGCCTCTTATAGGGTCCTGCAACACTTTTCTAAGTAGCCATAATATTATTTCACTAAATAAGTTTATTGCTTCATTAATTAACCTCAGCAAAAACCTTTTTGATTCTGTCCAGTACGAGCGGAGTAACAAAGATTTGTTGCCTGTTTTTTCGTACTTGTTTTTTCTTCTTCTCTCGTCCCGACGACTGTGCTGAAAGCTTAGTAGAGAGGAATGACACGTGAGAAAAGGGTACGTCACGAGTACCTCATCAACTTATGCACGGTTTTCTTTGTTTTTTTTCTTCAACGCGCTGATTTTCAGTGCGACCACGCACGCACATGTGACACGTCGCGGCTTTTGCGACGGCCTCAGTGATTCTCAAGTACGCCATGCTCTACTCAGCTGATGGCGTGATACTCGAGCCTACAATGCATTGATCTTTTTGAATACGGAGTCATTTGTGGAGAGGAATGATTGATTTGATTGATTTGTGGGGTTTAACGTCCCAAAACCACCATTTGATTATGAGAGACGCCGTAGTGGAGGGCTCCGGAAATATTTGTGGAGAGGAGAAAAAATGATTTTAGGCTCATTTTGTTGATGATATGTGGGCCGAAAACCAGCATATGATTATGCGAGACGTCGTAGCGGAAGGCTATAGAAATTTCGACCAGCTGGGATTCTTCAACCTGCCCCCAAATCTGAGCGCACGGGCCTACAGCATTTTCGCCTCCATCAAAAATGCAGTCGCCACAGCCGGCATTCAGTCCCAAATCTGGCGAGTCAGCAGCCCAATACCTATACTAGACCGTAGTGGTGGGGCTAGGCTGGGAATTTATAGTAAAATCCAGGCTGCGAGCTGCGCAATGTTCTTTGGCTCGCTTGCTGTAGAGAGCCTCTACGACCGATTGGAAGAGTACTCTGACCGTGGCCGAAAAGTGTTGCGGGGCCCTTTAAAAAAGAAAACAGGTTAGGCGCTTATGGTTTATAATAATATCTGGGGTTTTACGTCTCAGAACTACGATATGAGAGGCGCCGTAGTGGAGGGCTTCTGACATTTTGACCACCTGATGTTCTGTTACGTGCACTCACATCGCACAAAACACGAGCCTCCACCATTTCGCCTCCATCAATATGCGACCACCAAAATGGGAATCGAGCCCGCGACCTTTGAGTCAGCAGCCGAGCAGTCTATAGCCACTGTCCACCGAAAGCTTCTTGTTCAAGTACTACAACGGTTGCGTATGAAATCGAAGCATAAGATTCAGGAGAGCCAATCAATGGTCAGGGCTTTAATATAAATTATTTGAAAGAGTTCTTTAAAAAAACACGCTTTTCTTGCGAGAAGCTTGGCTTTGGCGGCCCCTACCAGAGTAGATCTCAACCAAGTGCTTCCTTCTACTTGGCCTCGAAGATCTACTTTGGCAGTGCGACGAAATAAAGTTGACCCAAGTAATACGTCAGTGGAGCACCTTCATGTCAGCTTTTGTTAGCACAGTGCGGTGGTACGCAAGGATTACGTCACTACCATACAGGGTCAAACAGAGCCGCAAATTAAAAGATGTCGAGCATTTAAGGTATTGCTGGAATTAACAGTGGTGTGTATCTCGCCAGTTAGAGGTCACTTATACCAGATTGCGCTGTACCGTTCCACAACTAAATTATTACCTTAACAAAGCTCGGCTCAAGGTGTAACCGCTGTGCATTTTTTGCAACGAAATTGAAACAATTGAACATTTCTTTTTTTCTGTCATCGTTACTGTTATCAGTGAAAAGGATTTTAGTAGCCCCATTACAAAAGCTAGGAATACAAGTAAATGTACCACTACTTTTATCACTTGGCGGCACGTCATTTGGTTACTGCCACAGAGATATATGCGTCACTGTGTTTGATCACATCAATAAAACTAAAAGATTACCGTGCAAGTGAACCCTAACATTTTCAGATCCTTAGTTTATAATTCGTAGCGATGTTTGTCAGGAACTAGAGATGGTTTGACCGCTTGCTCAGCAACCATTTTGTGTATTGGCAGTATTATGTGTAAACAATTTTTTGTCAGATTAGCTTTGATTTCAGTTTTGTTTTATTCAAGTATCCTGCTGCCTGGTTTTTGGCCAATCCCCCTCTGTGGGTTAGCACCATTCATCTGAGGTTATCCGCATCAGCATCAGCCGCTCTCGCATTGTGTGAGGCTACCAAACTGAATCAAACGCTGACAATCAGTATGGCGTCTCAGCAGCAACGTTACTTCAAACAGCGCTGACATCAAGACACGCTGCACGCCAGGAGACATGATTCCCAAGGACTACCAGACACCCAAGTAAAGGGCTAGAGTGGCGTTTGATATTTGAGCGGTCAGGCACCTTAAGATCGCGCAATGACCCTTCGTCCATAAACCGCCATTCGGCATCTACAGCAGATGTTACCAAACGTATTTGCAGGTGCGTCATATGTGCAGCGTCGCGCGAAAAAGAACCGCATTGATGAACTCCCTTACAGCACAGACCCGTCAGGGTTCGCTCGTATAGGCGCGCGCTCCCCGCTCTCTTACTGCCGCCATAGAAGAAAGCGATCGTAAGGGTGCTCCATGCACCGGCTCAGCGGCAACGCCACCAGTGCCATCACGAAATGAGGGCTCGAAAAGCTGTAGTAATACGGCAACGTTGACAAGCAGACCCGGAGCTGAGAGCGCGGAAAATAATCATTGTAATTTCACACATGAATCATGGTATGCTGCATGGCTCTTCGCCCTATCGTCAGCCCTTACTTCCAAGATATTACTGGATTTTTAATGTAATTCAGTACTTTTTACGGCTTAATCGTTATACAAACTGCAATTGCTAAAACAATGTCTCATACTTGTGTGACTTGCAGGCTTTCCTTTCCCCTTGGTTCCCGTCCTGGTGGCCGTCTACAGTGGCTGCCATGTCGCTCTTGACGTGGCAGAGTGGGAAGCATCGGCTAAGCAGAAACGGGCATCACCGTGAACAGCCCTAATGCTGAAAGACGTGCAACAATGTCGCATTTCATACACGTTTTTTTTTTTTTACACCAAAGCTGCTTAAGCTTTTCGTTCAGCCGGTTCGCGTGACCAGCAGAAAGTGGGAATGTGCCAAGCAGCTCCTAGGATTAGCATTACGATTAGGATGTTGTAGGTAGCGACGGATCTAGCCTTGGAAAATTTGCACGACACTGCCCCGCAAGCTTTCCTCTTTGCCAGTTGTAATAAACTAATGTCTTTTTTTGTTTTGTTTTTCAATTATGTGCGGGCGTGCTCTTAGAAAGTCGCACCCAGCATGACATAACTCCAGCCAGCAGCCTGTGTGCTATACCACTTGCAGTATTGTACCGGACCCCTATTTCACTGCATACCCCCCCCCCCCTAACAATTGTCACTAATCACCAGTCACATGGGAGGCTTGTAGCAGTCAAAAACTACAAAAGAAGTCACGACACCTGCTTTCTGAAGATCCAGTGACCACGCGGAACCACAATATCTGTTACACTGTCACGTGGTGAGTGTAAACGTTGTAGGTCCTCAAATAAACACGACCCTTCTATCTTAAACTCACGACTTCTTAGTACACAGTGTTCTACGTCACCACACTCATTGCAAGTTGGGAAAAATTGCGTCGCTGAAAGTGTAACCTTGTGGAGCCATGCACGCTGGTGTATACGCCGAGACCATTCGGATGTGACGAAGCAAACAGGCCTCTTCCCTTGATAATCATTTTGTCACACATGACTGGCGAGGCGCCAGCAATAACAAATGGAAATGCTTGTCGACGGCTTCTCGTAAAAAATGCTGATTGTCTCTGGCAGCCTCCTTCGTTGGTGTAAGTTTCAAAGCACTCCGGGCAAATCTGTCAGCCACCTTATTACCCGCTATTATTGTGACCCACCTCTACAATAGCCTTAAGGCGAACAGCGTGTTTAAATAAAGATTGTAATTTAGCACAAGTTGGAAATCTCTCGAAACATCCACATGTTCCCACGCATCTCTACTTAAATAGACACACCAAGCACTGCGCTCTATGGTAGCAATGTTAGGCGCGTAAAAAGAAGGGTTCGTTGTATACTATAGACGTATACAACAGAAATGTAAAAAATTAAAATAATGAAACATGAAAAATAGTAAAAAAGCATGGAAAATAAAAAAACTTCGAAAACAAACTACTCCAGATACAAGTTATGCTACATAGTTACTACGTTACTTAATATGCTGAAGCTGGCATAGATTTCTTACACTGTACACATACCCAAATGTGTGATATACAAATGTTCAGTTTTCAATATTTCTTTGTAGTTGCTGTATTGTTCTTACTGTTTTTATTTTTCTTGGACCTAGTTTGTTTTGTTGCTCGTTTTTTAAAATTAATTTTGCTGGCTGTTCCTCTGTTGTCGTACTAAAAGGTGGCTGTGGGCCTTTGTCGAGCTGCCTCTTTCAAAGAGCAGCTTTTACCTGAAGCTCTCCTTCATCGAACTATTGATGAGCAATGAACATTATTATTATTATTATTATTATTATTATTATTATTATTATTATTATTATTATTATTATTATTATTATTATTATTATTATTATTATTATTATTATTATTATTATTATTAATGCGTATGCCTTACTAAAACTTCTTGCGCTTGTTGGTAACTTGCTATGTTGCAAGTAAACTTTGCGCAACTCAGAAATTTCCTGCCACGCTCACCCATCAACCACGCACTTTCACTCAAAAAACGCACACCACACACAGCCAGTCGATTAGGACATGTATTTCCTAAAGTTGACATCTTTAAGGGCCTGCTACCGCGATAATCTTGTGCAAGCACAATGTGGATGAATCAAGTGGTACAAGAACGTGCGTGACCTTCAAGTTTTACAAGTTCTCTTGGCCAGCATCTGACCACTTGCGCCCACCGAAAAGCAGCTGAGCGATGCAACACAACCAAATAGTCCTATAGTCAAATACTAGGTTTGTAGCGGAATAAACAAAAGTAGTAGTGGTGCAGATCGCCAGATATGTGGCGAACGACGTTCATCGGCATCCTGACGAAATGAAGTCTCAGCTGGTGCCACACATGTAGCTGCAAGAACAATTTTGCTCAGCACAGCCGTGTTTGCGAAGAAATGCCGACAATTTATCATTAGGCAGTCTGCGCCGGCTGTCGTAAAGTGGTATGAGGCAGTCGGTCGTGCTTTCTGAGGAAATAAGAGCCATCATCTTCATATTCAAAAACAATCATTGACTGGGAACTTTTTCTGCTTTCAACTGCACGCGCTGAATCGCAGCACCACCCTCAGAGTAAAGAATCGATAATTGTTGAAAAGCATTCAAGATAGATAAATAGAGCTCAACACATCCTTTCAAATGACCTGTGACGGGCACATTGGCAAAGAATTTCGCGCTGATGTGTATTCTGAGGGCTCAAGGAACAATGATCAATGTTACATCACAGTGGCAAGTGTATCATATCTCACTAGAAACAGTCACGCGTTTTCTAAGAATAATTGTGACGTTACTTGAGATTCGAATACAGGTTATTGCAAGGTTACAGACCTTGAAAACAGGGCAATCAAGAAAGTTTGAACAATGCGCAGAGAAAGCACAAACTGCTCCAAGCGTAGAACGTGCTTTCAGTTTCGAAGCTAGGAGCGCTAAACAGACTGCACTTTTAATGTAACTTCTCTGCATTTCCAACATCATTGCTACAGCCCCGTAACTGTATATATGCTTTTACCGAGCACACCGTACCCATGGAGAACAAAGCCATTCTAAAAGAGAATTGATCGATCTCTCATTTTCTATGTGTGGCATTTCAGGCCTTCGGGAGTTCAACACCAGCCCTCTTTCACATTGCAATGATTTCTTTTTCTATTAACCTGGTATCCGATGCACATGCCACGCTGACGTATAACAACACTAAATCCACGCGAAACAAACTTGGTAGTTTTGTGAGAAGTGCAACTGAACAAAAATGCGGACTATTTGTTAAGTCGAACATTAGAATGGCGTTGTGATAACAACGGTTCATATTATCTCGCTTGCTACGGCCCGTGCAAAGATGTGTGACAGGAGGAATGAGGCGCCTTGCAAACGAGGACCTGAATTTCAGAGGTAAGATATTGTATATACGAGTCCCATGTGATATGACGCTTCTTAAGGCATTTTGCCTTGACAACATGAAAGTGTAGTTTTGTAGTCGCGCGTGTCCATATTTGTGTGTGCTTGCGTCTGTGTAAGTCTATTTGTGTGTCTGTGTGTGTTTGTATGTGTGTGTGCTTGTGGAGTGTCCCAGTTTGTGTGTGTGTGTGTGTGTGTGTGTGTGTGCGTGTGCGTGTTTGTAGTGAATATGTGCGTGCGCGCACCTGTGTGTGCGTGTGTGTTTGTGTGTGTTTATGTGTGTACGCTTCTGTGTGTTCTTGTATGTGAGTTAGGTGCCTTCATGCTTGCCAAGAATGCAGTCCGCAGCTCCACGCACATGTGCCTACCCCCCCCCCCCCCCCGAATAACGGTGCTGTGAAGATGCTCCCACGAATGAAGCGACTCCCTTCATGATCCTTCCTCTTCGTGTTTTATATCCTAACGCTTTTACCTCTGCCTATTGTAGCAAACCAGGCGCGCGTCCCATTGATTTCCCTGCCTATACCACTTGCCTCTGCGCTCTCTTTCTGTGCGTGCGCTTACAACGTCGCACGTGTATATGTGAATCCCATTGCATTCGTACAGTGTGCGCGCGTATGCTTTTGGAGAATTTTATGAGCACCCCGCGGTCATGTAGTGCACCATGCGAAAAGTCTATTCTCCGAGCTAGCCGGCTGTCCGTGATTTTGATGCTCATAGCGCCGTAGGAGCAATAAACGAAACAAACAAAACGCCGACTCTCCATCATTCTTACACCGTAAATAATGCACACATTAGAACGCATCTGCGTGCACATCTACGTGTCAAATGTGAAAGGACTAACTCGGTGCAGTGTATGTATTGCCATCAGGATATGTATATAGAATTCATCAGTTAAGCAGCGTGTACATTATTGCGAGCCGATAAGTCGAGACACACTACTCTCTCAAAACGGAACAGTGGATATATCTGATCCAACAATCACTAGCACGTAATGAGAAAAATGTGACGTATCGAAGTGCCAGAAATAGCTTTGCCAATCAGGATTTAGCGAGGGGCATGAACACTCATGCTTCTGCCAGCTGCGTTTAGCCACTATAGTTTTTCAAAGGTAATCCAGTTTGCTCACGAGTAGGACTATACACATATACAGTATATTTACGTGTGAGCCCACACACGAAAACACAGCCAGCGTTAATGGAACGTAACATATCCTGTCAGTCAACAAATCGTGAGAAATGCACTGTGGTGGGTGTGATACACAAGATGTCTCATGCATCCATACTATTTCACTAAATGCCGACAGTAACTTCACGCGTAATTTCGGAATCTTAGAGCCTCACATTGCAATATCCGGCAGTATCGATGGACGTTGATTCCAAATGAATCTGTAAATTGTAATGGCCGCTAATGAAATCCCCTTGCGAAGCAGAGTTGTACTTTATAAATGCGAACCATTTCTCTGCCTACGGCCCACACCTTGAGCGTTTCTATCTATCTGTCTGTCTATCAATCTATCTATCTATCTATCTATCTATCTATCTATCTATCTATCTATCTATCTATCTATGCACCTTTGTCTGGGTCCTCTCGTGATCACCATTTTAACTTAGGGTAGATCGAAATTAGTATGGGAGGGCAAGAAGCCTTGACGACTGTTACTGTGGTGATGGCATAAATAATGTGATAATCCTGTCGCGTGCTGCATTAAACCCCTTTTCCCTACACACGTGTGGCACTACGCGTATGAAATGGTATGCCATTATTTGGCATAGATGTTTGGCGGTTTATATCTACATTGCAATGCCGAGAACAGCCATTGGTAATTTAAACGCAAGAGCGTTAAGGAAACCTGACATCGGCAACGTCTACTTGATTAACGCAAAGAGTGAATGTTATGTTCCCTGCAGAAATCGAACCCAAGCATTATGCGCGTTAAGCAAGTATTATACCGGAGAGCAACGCCAGGTTTCGGAACTGCTTTGGAAAAAAAAGCCCTATGCCAGCATAATATTTTCAAAGTCAACTGTCGTTGCACTGCTGCTACCCATCTACTTCTATGAATATTGCGCATGTACTCCTATAACACAGGCGCGACGTTGCTTTAGCGTCAATTGTAGCTCAGCGCCATGCATTAAAGCTGGTTAGCAATATCCAGAGCTACCATGCTCTCAAGCCCAAGCGGTACATTTCAGAGTTCCGTTTCTTCTGTTGGTAATACCCATGTTGCTCAAGGCATCGTTCCGCCACTGTAAAGAACTGGTCATATAAAACACATGTATGACACAGTTCAACATACATGTCTGGACGTACAAAGTTAGTACGTCATGTTTGGGCATTTCGTAACGTTTCGCTGTAGAAAATATTACACTACAGTAAATTTCCCTCCGTATGCTTTTAGTGAAACTGATTCCCATAGTGCGTGGAATATGCCACGTTTTTGTGTAAGTGCCGCGCAGCAGACTGACACAAAAAAAAATGACGCTTCGCAACCACTTAGCGTGTCCAACAGTGCCACGCGAGAACACTAGCCTGATGGAAATCATCGATAGACCGTCGTAGCTAGGCGTTCATGACCAAATTACGCAGTATATGATATGACGTCTTGTTCAAGACAGTTGTTCTGGAAAGTGCTGCCAGAGCGCAAGCCGAAATCTAAAACGTCGGGCCGGCGCGCTCCACGCGGCGATTGCTGCGGCACATACGCGCACTTTTCTTATGAGACCTTGAGCGCCCATTTGTGGCGCTCATGTGCTTGAGAAATGTTTTATTAGTATGAATAAAGTGCCTACAGTATACTTACATTCTAGGCATTAGAGTATGAACACGCACGCTCATACTCCTGAGCACTTCACACATCCTTGTTCCTGTTTGAACGCGTTCAGCGTGCGCAGGATACTAAAACTTCCGTTATGCGCAAGTGCAATTTTTCGTGAATACCGCGCAGGCTCTTTTTTAGGCGTCTTTGAGAATGTACATACTTGAAAACGATAGTCTTTCTTGGGGACCTTCGGCGCAAAACTTTGGCCTGTCTGTCTGTCTTTGTCTGTTTAATCACCCTTAACGGTACCCTAAACGGCACCAAAGTGACCAAACGATACTCCATACGGCCGACGCCATCCGCAGCACCCACCAATATTGCTCAAGGTTCAGCGTTCATACTTGTGCGATTGTCAATTATAAAGCGATTATTGCGCATATCTGAGGCACCATAACAACACGTCCATATTATGTATGTGTATTTTTTACTAGAAATGGCATATATAAGTAATTCTAAGGACTGTAGCGTTTATCACGTTGCGCTGACCATGCAATGCTTGCATGATAAGGCAAGTGTTTCCAACGCTTTGCTAAGACGATGCGATGATGGCACCTACCCGTAGCCTTGCGTTCTACACCTTATGGCCTCAGAGACAGGCGCTCATGCCGTGCGCTTTGTTTTCTAGGATAACTGCCAGATAGCGCTCATGTCTCCCGTTGGACGTGACCTGATACGCTCGTTCGCCTCCGCTGCACGCTCGAGGAACTCTAACGCAGTGCCTCCAGAATACCATTCACAGATTTTCTTGCGCAGAACATCAAATAAACGTTTTGTTTACTCTCTCCAGACGCAAGACTATCGTCTTTCGACGACATTTGCAGTGTAACATGCAGATACGGGGCCAATTTTTGCCTGAGAGCGTGTACATGCCTTGCACATGTATGAGTTTAAAAGCAATATATGGTGTGACCAAAATGAAAAGAAAATAAAAAACGCTGTTTCCTACGTTCAAGGTGGAGGTGGACTCCAGAAAAGGTGTACCACTGGGTGGTTTACTTCGGAGCCACAATGTATGTCTTCTGGCGATTCGCGACGACAGAACAAAGTAAGTGCGTCCCTTCTAGTTCAGTATATTTTGTTCGCTTTCGCCCTTGATAATCTGCGCGTTGCATTGATCTCTCGCGATAATTAAAGGGATTCGGACAGGAACAGTGGGACACTATATCATGAGAATAAAGTATGCGGCCAAGAGCTATTTGTGTCAATCACGACTGCATTGGGATTCATGTTTTATACACTTCGGTTGAATTTACTGGATGAGAAAATGAAGATTGAAGTCTTATATTGTTTATCATCTTTTGTTTTAGCGCTGAAATTATATTCCCCTAACAGTGGTTAGGCGTAACTAGTATCGCTATATTTTGTTGTGTGTGTTTCGGCTGTGTTCACTCAATATAGCTTCCCGAATCTTGCAGTCTTATATCTACGATTGAAATTATTTTCACCCGTAATGAACTGCGCAGGCACGAGAAGATAGCGTGAAGAATTGTGACATCCGAGTGAGGGGGAGCGATAACCTCAACAGGCCGTCACCATGTCTAATTTTTTATCGCACGTTTTCTCAGTAATCAAGTGCCTTCTAGAGACAATAGCGCCAATACTGTTCTTTTAGTATTCTAAAAAAACAGTGTGAAAATTGTTTTCGCTTATGAAATGTAGGGGGGGGGGAATCTTAATGAGAAGGGAGGGGGGGGGTCGTAAAGCAAGCAACTCCGCGTTACTGTGTCGCACGCGCTAGGCAAAGCGGTGTCAGGTGGTTGCTAGGCAACGCCACTGAGACTTCTTTCTACGCTACCTATAAAGGAAAGCCTAAACAGTTCCAGTGTTCCTTCAGGCTCGTTGTGAAGCTATCTAAGTTTCTTTTTCTCTCTGTAGTCAGGGGCGACCAAGAAGGTCTGAAAGGCTGCCACATAAAAATACAATTACGCTCCCTTCACATATACGCGTTGCCCGTGTACTTAGCCTGTGTCAATGTGTATCAGATGGTTTTCGTTCGAAGAGCACGTACTGCAAATGTAAACACTAGGCGTATGAGAAGTGGAAGCGTTGCCAAGGCGAGTGCTAACGTAATGATATCTGAAGATATTTACCAGTATGTCCATCTGTTCCACGTGAAACCAGTTACGTGAACGAATCTCTGCATGAATAAATTCGAAACATTTTCACTAAGCAAGCGTTTCCACCGTTACGGAATCCTGGGTTGATAAATACTGATCGACACGAGAAGTTAGTGTGAATATTTGTGGCATCCGAGCGAGGGGGAGCGATAACTTCAACAGCCCATCGCCATGTGTAATTTCTTGTCACACGTTTTCTCGATAATCAAGTGCCTTCTAGCGGTACATGGTGCAATGAAGTCATCCTCAATGTTTATGGAGTCAGGTGCCAGTGCTCTATAGATAAATGATAAAGATAGAGAGATAAATGCTAAGACAAGAGCGGGGAGGTTAACCAGAAGATAGATGTGTGGTTGGCTCTCAGCGCTCAGAAAGGAGTAAGGAGCTACAGAAGGTAAGACCGAAAATAACGAAAGGGTTAAAACACACGGGAAACATATGATCAGTCAAACGCGTTTGCAATCCGTGCTGCCTACTAGCACTGCCGAAGTTGCGATTTTTCTTCCCCTGAACCTCTCATTTTCTCCTTAAACGTGGGAGTGTCGAAGAGCTGACCTCTCGTCGCCTAGAAGAGGCGCAACTAAAGGTGGATCAATGAAAAGAAATCAAATCAAAAACGTAGTAATGGTTCTCCCTAAGGGTTTTATAGAATAAATGAAATGATAAAGATTGGGTTGATGGATGAAAGAGCTGTGCCAGCTTTACATAGGGTAATTAAAAGTTATTAGGACGCCCTGACGTCCTAAAGCACGGATGATAAGTGGCGCTATAATTCAAGCCGGAAGGGCCTACAAGTCGAGCGTAAATGAACATAGAAAAGCTGCGTTCGGCGGGTAGGTCATAAAGAAGGATTGGGTTAGAAAAAGGTAGACTTTCAAAGTGTAATACTTAACTAGAGTTAATTAAGGGTCTTATTGGGATGTATAATTAGGTATCAATTGAAAGTCGAGGCTTGAGCATAGCATAACCTTCTACAGCATTGCAAACTAAGGAGGGGGAAGGGCAACTTGGGTGGAGGGGGGAAAGGCGGACGTGAGAGGGCAAAACCCAGCTAAATCTTGTATGATACTGTATCGTAATGGAGCCATTCTGCGTTGAAGAGGACCAAGAGGACTGGCCTACCCGCTGTGCGTGCCGAACTTCATCTTCATCGTGGTAAATACACTCGAAAACTGTCCCAAATCATCTCATTTTACGCAAAAATGTCGCATAAAGAGGGGTGGAATTGAGATCTGAGTGTGAGGAGGAGAGAAAGGAGGAGGAACAATGGTGCCAGCTCCACTGTCTCCCCACTCTTCCCACCAGTCGTTGGTCCACCTAAATACATCATTTCTTCGTGAGACACTGAGGACTTCTATCACAGCTGAAACTCATTAGTGGCCTTTTAACGAATTCGCTTTTCAGGCCTTAGATTTTCCTACTGCGAACCTTGGCAGCCCGACCAAATGATAGACTACTTCCGGTGTTAGTCCTTCAATTTTACCTTTATTCACACTAATTACTCGCTGTGAAATTCAAAGATTTACCCTTTCTGTTGACTCTACTTTATCACGCCCACGATTTCCTTCTCAGACGCCTATATATTGGAGCAAACACCGGAATCCTTCTCAGACGGTTCTTACGGGTTCCAGCGAAAACAGGTAAGGCCTACTTAATTAAATTAGTATTTCTTCATCGTAGAAACATGAAAACTGTTAATTCACTGCAAAATAACACATGTAGTCGGCAGAGGTAGATTTAGTGCATATCTAATCGATTCGAGACTTACGAGACGTCTTCAATTGCTACAGGTTAAACGGCAGAACGCATACATAATCACGGAGAACCATCTATCTTTACAGTGCTTACCTAAGTATGTAATTTTTGATAAAACTTTACACTCTTCTTCATATTTCCTTTCTGTGTATACATTCTTTTTCATGTATGCTCGTGCCTGCGCTGTGCTTCAGTATGGTAGACCAAGTGAGCCTAAACACAAAGATATCTTGTGTGCATTGCAAGAAACAAACAACCTATTTAATGAATTCAATGTACGCTTCCAAGAAACTTTTTCCTCAACCTGGAAAAAGCTGCGAAGGTTCTTTACACGTTAAAGAACAACACACATATGAATAGAAAGCCTTCGCACAAGCTCTTCGCCGCCCGTTACTGCGTTAGCGGCGTCGCCTTTGTCGGCATAACCAATAAAGTGAATGAGGACGAAAGTCTCGCCGTGGTAGTCTAGTGGCTAAGGTACTCGGCTACCGACCCGCAGGTCGCGGGATCGAATCCCGGCTGCGGCGGCTGCATTTCTGATGGAGGCGGAAATGTTGTAGGCCCGTGTGCTCAGATGTGGGTGCATGTTAAAGAACCCCAGGTGGTCGAAATCTCCGGAGCCCTCCACTACGGCGTCTCTCATAATCATATGGTGGTTTTGGGACGTTACACCCCACATATCTATCAATCAATGAGGACGAAAGAGAACAAAAGAGAGACTTCCTCAATATTGAACTGTGCCCGGCGGTATTGAAGTATTTCAATTCAGCCTCCTCGGGCGCATGCTCACACTCTACGGGGGAGACTTCTCAAGTGGTGCGGGCATACCACTACGATCTAACCTACCCCCGCACCCAACCCTCACTCCACCCGAAAGGACCAGGAAGCAGTCTTGCTGGTCTGCGCCAACCACCAAGCGCAACAGGCGTTGGTAGCAAGGGCCCAGGCCGCCGCGGTAGCTGCAGGGATCCCGGACTCGGTATCCCTCCTTGTGTTTGTGAAGGGCGAGCCTTTCGAACTCATCCCATCCATACTGCACCCATGCCTCTCACTGTAAGTAGAGTAATGAATGTTTTCCACCGCCGCCACCAAAGAGCTTTCGACTGTAAGAGCCCGCGAGACACTGCGTTAAGTGCTTGGTTAGCGCCACTTGGTGAGCGCCTGCAATGCCTTGTGCCTACTGGCGCTTCTTCGACAGCGCAGCGCATGCTTATTCGATAATTCCAGCGACTATAGGCGGCGTAGCGAAAGGTCGAAATGGCGGACGATACGGTGATGTCCCGAGCGTTCACGTCAGCGTCGCAGATGGTGAAGACGCGTTCATTTCTTTATGACTACTCGGAGACCGAACTGCGTCGCAGTTTTATCAACATGTGACAGCTTCGGAGCGCGGCTACATGGCGCCGCCTGCGTCGCTGGAATGACCGAATAATGCATTATGGCCGTCGCATCCGCGATTACTTGATTCAACGTGTCGTTTCTAACCATCCGTCCTGTTCGGCGAGCTTTCATATAATCGCAATTTTCTCAACGCCCCTACGTGTAACCTTACCGGAAGCACCAGGGATGCTAATACAGCCATACAAAAAAATCTTTGCATATTCATTTAGTGAATGATGAGGATGGGGTGAAGCTTCTAAGGGTTTTATCGCTAAACAGTGAATCGTCCATCCGTCCATCCGTCCGTCCAGTCCACCCGTCTGCCTGTCTGTCTGTCTGTCTGTCTGTCTGTCTGTCTGTCTGTCTGTCTCTCTGTCTATCTATGTGGCTGTCCGTCCATCCGTCCGCCCGTTCGACCGTCCGTCTTTCCATCTAGTGAACACTCCAAGTACCGCCATCACGCATCTCTTAATCGTATATTCACCATACACAAGTACCGCCATCCAGCGGACTTTCCAAGGACTGAAGCGAGACGTGCCTACTACATACAGGAGCCGCACGACTCACGCCTTAAGGAGCTTTGCCTCTAAAAAGAGGAGAGCTCTGGAACGGCCGCCGGCTTTATTACGCTAGCCGCACAAATAATCATGGCGGGCCAAAGAGAAGACACGACGCGTGTAGCGTTTTTTTTTTTTTTGGTCGGTGCAGTGGTATTCAATAACCCAACGCCTTAGGAGGCGTTCAATAACCATGTCACGAGTAAGCGGCGAGCTTATCCCCACTTCGGCATCCAATCAGTCGCGCTCTTCTGACTGTCGTGTTGTTTTCTCTGGTTCCGCTCTGATCGTTACCGCTACAGCTACCACAAGCATCTGTGGCCACAAGGGTTTGTTGAATTGTGAGTGCTGGATGATTGCGGCGGGACGGATGTCTATGACTGCATAAACATAGCGCGCTGCATAAGCACAGGAGTCGAGAGTATGCACGAGGATTCCGCGAGCGTTGCTCCGGTTGTGTGCATGCGACGTCTCCGCTGCTGCACCGCATGAAACTAATAATCACGTGACTATTCGGTCCGCGGAGCAGCGGGATTAAGCTGTCGCGTGTGAATCTAGCTTTACGCCACTGTCAATCAGTACAAACTAGCTCGCCTTTCCGTTTTGCGTACTCTGTCAGTCCACCTGCCCATCTGACCATCCGAGATTCTGTCTACGTCTATTCGTTCATGCGTTAGTTTGTTCATTTGTCCATGCATCCATCCTTCCTAACATTCATCGTTCTGTCCATGCTCCTGTTCATCCGTCCGTCCATCAATTTATAAATTCCGAATTGCGTTGAGCGAATGCGTGTGTCCACTGAAACGGGGTGGGTAAGAATCAAGGAGGTTTAAAAAAATGGGTCATTTTTTTAAATCCCCTTAGTAAGAATAGAACGCGATTCGAGCGTTTCAAGCATTGTTGGATACGCTGGGCACAGCACACTACGCAAGCAAAGCGCGAGTGCTGTGGAGTCCGGTGTAACGCGAGACGCGACCGGCGTGCGTTGACGCGCCGCGGCGGTTACCTGGCACCTTAGTTATCATTACTACACATTTCATAAACTTTTCACATTCCTCCAAGGAGTTTTTCATCAGCAGCATTCACTTCGTGGAACGGCTGCCAATTTTCGTAGCGTGTGCTACACTGGCCGAGGTTGAGCAGCTTCGCGTGGCTTATCGAGAGCCTTGCTGGCATGCCCGAGGAGCAGTGACGTGACACAGCGCAAAGGTGGCGCGCCGGACAAAGCCTGCCAGCTTCTGGAGGGACGTGTCACTAATGGGCTGGCGCTAAACTCGCGTGAGATCGCTCCCTCACTAGTCCGTCCGTCCATTCGTGCTTCGTTCGTCCGTCCGTTCCATCCGTGGTCGTCCCTATATCCATCCGTCCGTCATCCATACGTCCATCAATCCATGGTTCGTTCATCTCTCCGTCCGTTGTTCGTTTATTCGTACATCTGTAGCTCACGCTATAGTTGAACTAAGGCACAGCTACTTTTTTTTACCCCATGACCGACCACATTCTTCGTGGAAAGACAGCAGCTTTACCATTACCGACAACGTCCTAATGAGATATTTCCCGGGCATTTTTTAAACCTATTTACCTACAGAAATTTTTACTTCGCGATTTCTCCTCCTGGCTACAACAATGACAAATTGGTCAGTGAAGCAATTTGTTGCTCAATATGTTGTTCAAATTTATTTATTTTATTTATTTATTTATTTATTTACTCTCAGGGCCCAAGGGCATTACAGAGAGGAGTGGGGGGTAAAACACTCTACAGGTATACAATGCAGCAGGAGTGTGGTTACACATATGAAACATATTTGAAATATCCGCATAAACTGGAAAAATAAACAAACAATAACAGAAAGGAAAAATCAAAAGGCGCAAAAAACATTTGCCGTACACGGGAACAACCGAGCAGGATTTACACAAAACCGCGGAATTCGCGAAAAAAAAATCAGGTAATATGGCCACTAATAGCCACCTTGAAATTGGCTGGATTAATTATTGAACAATGCAGGTGGGGAGGTGGTTCCAGTCCGAGCTGGTTTTAGGAATAAATGAGTTGAAATAATAGTTTGTGCGGCTGCTGGGTACGCCAACCTTGAACTGATGGTCGTTTCTTGTCGAATGATAAGTGGGAGGAAAAAGCATCGAATCTTTGAGCGTTGAATTGGCGTGATAAATTTTATGAAAAAGACAAAGTCGGGACATTTTCCTTCGAACAGATAGATCAAGTAGGTTAAGGGAAGATTTCAAGGATGAGACGCTAGCCGTACGAAAATAGTTTGATAATATGAAGCGTGTGGAACGATTCTGGATAGCTTCGATATCATGAAGTAACGAGTTGATATGCGGGTCCCAGATCGACGACGCATACTCCAGCTTTGGCCGAACCAAAGTTTTGTATAAAACGAGTTTTATATCTGCTGAAGCAAGAGCAAAATTTCGTCGTAAAAAACCGAGCATGCGGTTAGCATCGCTTGTGATATGATCGATGTGTGTTTGCCAAGAAAGGTTATCCGAGATGTACACGCCAAGATATTTGTAACATGACACTTTGGTTAGGGGGTCGTGGTTGAGTATGTAAGTGCACGCTGTAGTATTATGTTTTTGACGGGTTACTCGCATTACTTTGCACTTATTTGTGTTCAGTTTCATTAACCATGTATCGCACCAGGTAGAAATCTTATTAAGGTCAGATTGTAGCGCACTTTGGTCGGCGGAATCCAAAATTTCTCTGTAAATTACGCAGTCGTCCGCGAAGAGTCTAATAGTTGATGATAGTGTATTCGGCAAGTCAATAATATAAATTAAGAATAATAGGGGACCTAAGACAGAACCTTGCGGCACACCAGACGTAACAGAGCAGTGCGTGGAAATAAAGCCATTAGCAACTACGTATTGTGTGCGGTTACTTAAAAAACACTCCGACCATTTGAGAATATTTACATCTAGATTGA